GCTTTTGCCATGGCTGCTAGGCGTGGGTAGCGTCTTGCGACCACAACATCAAACTTCACGATCTTGAAATTTTGAGATTTCCCCAGTGAGCATTCCTAGGCCGACCTGCAGTATTCTATACAATGTCAATTCGCACAACGGCTTCAGAGCAGGAAACAAACCATCAGCGTTTCGTTTAGTGTTTAAGAACGAAGAGCTCATGATCGATAGTCGGAAGACAGGGGATCCTCTAGGAGTGAATTATCACGTCATCATCATGTACCACTGGTGTGCTATGTGGAGTATCCACAGGAGCGCATTCAGTAGTTTCGTACAACCACATATTACAGCATACTAACATAACGTGTTGAAGAAGCTTTCATCAGCAGCGGTCTTACACAACGAAAGTACTGATCGCACGGAGTATTTGCACCGAGTCAGCTGACACTGGTAAGGCTGCTCATGTGATCTACTTGAATTTTTCGGAGGCATTCGATTGTTTAGATTGTTGGACTCGCCTTTCCAAGCTTCAATATTACGGGATCAATTACCCTCTCTTGAGTTGGATCGCCAACTTTCTTTTGCCACGACAATTAGTGGTCAAAGCCCGGAGTTTCTAATCTAGCCCCATACCAGTCGAGTCAGTTTTGCCTCAGGACTCAGTTCTAGAGCCGTGATAGCTTTTGGTATTCATCAAATGGCTTACACGGTAAATCCCTTCAAATTTCGTACTGTATGCTGATGATATCAGTATATGACGCAAGATTCAGGCGGATGCCGAGCAGAATTTTCTTCTGTGCGACCTAGGTATAGTATCCCAGTGGTCAACCCGAAATCTGATAGTTCAACGTGGTCAAATGCACACCACGCCATAGTACCGATTACTACAGGCTAGGAACGTAAGTACTGCAGCGATCGCCCATCGAACGCGACTTGGGTATGCTGTTACAGGATAACTTGGGTTGTTCCAGGCTATCCGAAAATGTACCGAAAACTGGTGGCCAGTATGTCGGCCTGCTATGACGGGCTTTCGGCCAAATCGACAGCTCTTTTTTCAAGCAGGCTCAATGCATATGTTCGCCCCCATGTCGCATACGCAGTTCAGGCCTGGCAGCCATGGCTGAAGCAAGACCACACTGCACTAGATCAACCATAACGTCGTACTTCTAAATACATCACTGGAATGCGCCATCTCCCATACCAGCAGTGGCTGAAACGCTTGGGAGTATTAAGCGGACGGTATCGCCCACTAAGAGGCTAGTTGAGAATAACCTAATTAACAAATGGAACATTCTCAGTGATTCATCAAGAACATCAGTTTGAGGCAAACAATTGTTTTCAATGATTCATCTACAGGCCGGTACAATCATGTAAGGTTAAATTACAAAGGGATGAATAGTGATTGGTTCGGGGGTTTGGGCTGAATAGACTCGGTCAATGGTTAGACAGCGAATAGTTCACCGCTGTCTCATGCACGAATGCCTTTACTGTGATTTATCAGGTTCCAATGAGCAAATCGAAAGGTACGCGGTTAAGGATGCTCGCCACTGCAGAGGCCATTGCGCTCCGCATATTCCAACCCTCGCTGTGCTCGTAGAGAAAGTTTGTTCAATCTCTATACCTGCCTTGGCCGAACAGCCATCAGCCTAGCCGTCACCCTGACATCGGCTCAGGCATTGTGATTACGTAACCCTCAATCGATCTGTGTGCATGAGACGGCGGCGAACTATTCGCTGTCTAACCATCGACCGAGTCTATTTAGCTCAAACCCCCGAACCAATCACCATTCATCCCTTTGTAATTTAACCTTACATGATTGTACCGGCCTGTAGATGAATCATTGAAAACAATTGTTTGCCTCAAACTGATGTTCTTGATGAATAACCTAACTGATTGTACACAATCCAAATCATCGATGCCGCTGTTTACTGCAACTCAGCAGTAACACCAAACTTAGAGGTTACTGCTTCAAAGTAACAGAACAGTACAACCGTGTCGATTGTCGTAGAAATTTCTTTTCTATCCACGTGTGTCCACCATGGAACGCTCTCCCCGAATAGATTGTTTGTGCACCTATACTAACCATATCTAAAAGTCGGTTGGATGACGCACTCCGCCAAGTACATTTTATTACTTGACGCTACTCTCCATCCTACTCCCAGGAAATAAAGTGGATTTATATTTTTCGCCTATTGAAACTAGGAAAATACTCAGGGTGCAGGGCTACTGCATTACATACGCTAAGTTCATTCTTTTGACAGCAGAACAACTAATTACATTACTTTCGTTAACGTCGTTCGATAACCCACCAGACCACTCAACGGGGTTTGTAAAGCAGTGCTTACTAACGCGTATAAAATCATTGCTAATTGTTCAAACTACTTGGTTGCAGTTTGTTTACAAGCTCGGTGATCTGACCACATACGTGTCAGCAATCAAGCCTCCTCGTTCCTCGGGAGCGCCATCATACATTCGGAGCAGAACTCGAGAGCGCGTCACTGTATGAGATGCAGCATGACGTGAGTATATGGCTGACTGTAGTCCTGACAACTGGAACAACTGTTTGCTGCAGCGTAATCACTGGGCCACACTTGTTTGTGGGGACAAATTAGTACACCAGAAGAGCCCTAGCGGAAATGTTTTGTGCTAATAACAAGCCTCTGTTCAGGCACAGGAACAGCCTCCAGAAAGTGAAGTGTGTTGTTCCCGCACTCACCGCAGCAAATGGATGTGTTCAAATCGGCAAGGATGTAACTAACGTTCTACTCTTACAATATGCGCTAATATTCCGACGCGCCTACGGCATGTGTCACATGCAAGTCCCAGTCCGACAGACGCCAGGAGTTACCTGGTTCAGTTTTGGTCCACGGACTGATTCGAGGAAACGGCTATCGTTGCACACCTATAGTTCTCCTGGAGTTAATAGCAATCGTCCGAAAACGCAGGGAGTGGCAGCTGCCAGGCCAGCGGATCTACGAGTCCGCAGCACGTGGAAGTAACGCATCATTACTCCGAATTTTAAGGGTAGTAGCCTTTCGGATTCTGCCAACTGTCGCCCAGTGATCCTAGTCCTATTACTCTCAAAGGTAGTGGAATCGGTCATAGTTGGTACACTAGTGGATTACGTAGAAATATCCAACACCACAGCACTGGAGAAACACGGCTTACGTCAATATTGTTTGTGTGCCATTTACATATTGATTGATTGCGGTAGTTGAACCGAAGACAACCGGTAATGGGACCAGAACCGAGGCAACCTTCCTAGACTTGTCTAAACTGGACGGTTTAAATCACCGTATCCTTCTCGAAATGCTGCGAACCTACCGTATTGAGAACCCTGTCCTTAGCTGGATGCGAGATTTCCTCCTTTAATGACAGCTTCATATTCAGGTTCGGGGCTTATTGTCCAATCTACTGAGGTGGAATGAGATGTTCCACAAAAATCAGTGTTAACATTACGCTCATTCTTGTCTGCCATTAATCCCTTCGCGTGCATCATCGGGCCGAATTTCTTGCGTTTCTTCGTTTACATGATGATGTAGCCAAAGAGCGATAATCAGGAAGATCACGGCCTACTGCAACGAGACCTGGGCAGCGAATAAGTGGTGAAAGACGAATCTACTAACGTGCAACGCGGGTAGGTGTGTGATAATACTTGTACGCCACAACTTCACAAATATATATATATATATATATATATATATATATATACATAACTTGGATACCACATCCTAAAGACTGCCTCGCAGGATCGCGACCTTCGGGTAGCGATGAAGAATGGTCTTGGCTGTCGAAGCAATTCATGAAGGTATCTGAAGCCCGAAAGCAACACTTCGCTCTTACAGTGGGCATTCGAATTGTTCGACCACACCACCCTGTGAATAATCATGGCGAATGTGAGGCCTCAAGTAGGGTACGTGATTCAGGCTTGTCGACCCTGGCTTAAACGCGATCTGGTTGCACTGTAGACCCAATAGCAATGGGCGGCCAAAAAGGTTAAGGACTTGTTCCATTTATCATACAAAACTACGACTGAAATCCCTAGAGCTGAACTAATCGCCGTCTACGTTTTGACCTAATTTTGGTCCATCCGATTATGAAAATACCTAGTCACGTTTGCGTAACCTGAAACTTAACCGTAACATAATCCTGGTGGGTCGCCCGATAAAACTGGCCACCCAGTACAGGCGGTTGAGATGCTGCCGAAATATTTTCTATCTTAATCTCTTAACCGTGGAACACTTTCCTAATATATGTGATTTCTGCTCCCGCCTATCCATTTTTGCAAAAAAACGACTAGACGATGTAGTACACTCTTTCAGTACTTGACATAAATCCTGTTAATCGGATGACGACAAATCGAAAACAAACATCGTGATCATCAGCATACATGCATAAGGGTTAGACAGACTTATATGTGTGTTATGGTGCACAATACGGCGGAATCACAGATTCCAGCCTTACCTATGTGTCAATTTGTTTTTTACGTTTTGGAATTTTTATTTCATACAGATCATCCTACGGGATTTATGAAGTCAACTTTTTGTCCATGCCATTCTTCTCTCGCGGCACATAATGGAGCTGTTGTAAGCTAAGTCGCAGCTAAATATCTTCATACAAATCTTCACATCGGCTCAATCAGAATCAACCGCCGGTGTCCGTTTCTCATGGTCATTGCCGGATTCTGACTTTAAGCGGCAGCTTCGAAGTTTGAGCCTAGTCTGAGGCTACCACTCTCACAATATCCACCTCACCCTTCCCAACGTTTACAGCTCCCACAGAGGACTGAAGGCAAAGCGCTGAAGTGCATTCTTACCTATGACGTGCAAAAGATATTAACACAAACCGGTTACCGGAGGATTTCTTTATAATTTTAAGCTATCGTGCCATCTGTCGAAGTCAAAACTTTTATATGTCAGGCCATGCTCCATTGTAGCATTGTGCATCCATTAGTAGTAATCAGAAAAATGCAGAGTCTAACACGCTTCATGAATATCTGAACACACAAAGAACTCAAAGCACTGTCATCCACACCTCCCCCCCCCACTAACCAGTTGAGGTTGTTCCACCTGGCAAAGTGTTGCCCTATCACGATTGAGGGAGATTAGACAGAACTTACTACTATGATTTATTAAAACACTGCCTGGTGGCACGTTTCTGCATGTGATCTGTTAAGTCCTCTCAGCTCACCTGTTACACAACTTGCACATGTGGTGTTGCAATACTTTGCAGAAAACCGCAATTCTGCTGGCCAGCCCAGTGACAGGTGTGTATACAAATACTCCGATTCCAAATGGTGTCGTTTTATGTTCAGTCGGATAGTTTTCCAATCGTCCAAATCACTTCCTGTCCCACTTCCCCATTTCCTTTAGCAGCTTCAACGGCTGAACTTTCGCACACTTACTCAGTGTTCTTTAACATTTGTTTTGCTCGCGGTTCATCGGTTATTGGGTGGTTTTGAATGGATTTGATACCCGTCTTTTGGATGAAAAATACACTCACAAAGCAATGGTGTGGGCTACACAATCCGAGTTTGAGTGTTATCAATTAGTGGGAGTGATTAATTGGCGACTACTTTGGCGCAAATTTCGATTATTACACCTGCCTTTGTCAAAATCAATGTGATTGCTGTGGAAACACATGGACAGAGTACGGACGACGTCGGGGTTGCTCAGATGGGCACTGCTTGTACACCAACCGTTGTGTGAGCAAGTCTTGCCTTTCTGCTTCCCCAATTCATCGAGATTGGTCTCGTTTCATCCCGACTCGTTGTAACACATGGGCAAAATGTGGCAACAAATCGTCGCCTAAAGTTGGAGAGAAATATTAAATACATCGGGAAGTTCACAGCATAAGTAATATCCTTGACAGAAGAGAAAAGCCGGGACAAATCGATGATACTCAAGGCGTACGGACTGTGACGATCCAGACGCACCAACGTAAGATGCAAGCGGATCACCACAAAACAAACCACTGGCATGTATAGCAAAAGAAATGCAGTACTCGAAGCCAGATGTCCAGCCACTCTCCCCATTTCCAACTGATCTCCAATTCTATCACTTGGTAGGAGATGTCTCCGTTCGTGTTTTAATTTCCATAGACGGTAAAATATCAAAGTATTCAACAGCAGCACCACGCAAAATGGAATTGCATATGTACATATCACTTCGAATGTGACACTGAATTTCGCCAGGGTGTGTTCTTCGATCATACGACAGGTAAAATTTGTTCTGCTTGCCACATCCACCATGAGTGTCTGAACAAAGATTAAAGGGGTGTTACTGATAAATCCAAGCAGCGTGATAGTAATGCACGCCCCAACAGCCCAGCGTTTATGATATATCGAATACAACGCGATCGGCCTAAGTATTGTCAACAGGCGATCGAGAGAAAATATCACCGTTATGTATGAGGTGGTGAAAAACATCACATTTGAAAGGTACTCAACGAATTTGCATCCAAACTCAGAAGTCGAATCAAGCTTGTAATAGTGTTTCTGATTGGTGGCATAATAAAGTCCTCGACCAAGGAAATCATCAAACACGGTGTTCGTGAGTAGAGTTATCGCGTTAGCTATGGCCAGTGAAATAGCGTAAATTGAAAAGCGCGTCCGTGGATTTTCCATTGAAAACACAGCAATAATGAACGCGTTTCCAATTAACCCCAAAGCTGCTACTAAAGGAGAGAAGTAGGCACGAAAAATTCCCACGTGGATGCTTAGGTCGGAAGAATTTCCGCCAAGCATATCCGTAGTAAAGAACGAGAGTCGTTGGATATCAGTAAAACTATTGTGTTCTTAATCCATCTAAACCAGAGCAGTCGCAAAGTAGGTCACTTCACACGAACCCAAGTCGTTAATAACTCATGACCGGTCAATATTAGGGTCAAGCTGATCTCGCTATCAAGCATCACGTGGCCCATAACACTAGGGGATCCACGTTAGCCTATCGATCAGTAGGCGTATCGACCAAGCGACCCTGACAGAATAATCTATACATACGCCAGTCCGAATTTCGACATACCCTGATTTGAACCCTACTTTGTACATACAAGTTTCGAGGGATCTGTCCTCTGTCAGATTACTAAGTGGCGTGGCCGTCTTACTCTCCTCTCACTATGAACCACCGTGGCAGTACAGTAACTGACTCGTACAGAACAGCTTGGACCCTAAAGTATTTTGTCATTGTATCAGACCATCTACTCTGGGAGAGTATTTTTGTTAATACAATTCACTTAATAGTTTAGATCTACCTACTAGATGGGTAACGAAATTAAACCTGCAGTGCTGCAGAATAAGGTTCAGCGCACCTAATAGTTTCGTCGCACAGGCAGCCCAAACTGGAGGTTCAAAGTATCGCCCCATCTTCTGCTATGGGCAAGGCAAAATGTCTGGTTCAACGCTCTGCTTAGAATCAGAAGTCTTTTTGGAAATGATCGTGCCTTTATGAGCATATCTCTATGAGCGTGTCTCGCACTGTAGAGAATAAAATTTGATCTATTTATTCACGTGGCAATATTCCCTCTTAACCAAAACACCCACAGTTGTTATGGTTACTGAGTAGAGGTTGCACCAGTGGAAACAGTCCCAGAGGTGTTCGCACTAATTCGCTTGATGATTCTTAGCATTCTTCCCTCTTTGCCTTGAAGTTGTTGGGACCTTCTTCCTCGTTACTTCAATTAAACCTACGTACTGTCTTATCGAAATCCCCCGTTAATTTGTTCCTTGGACTACGATCATGATTTTATTGCAGTGTTTTTCCCTTCCTTCTTGTATCTATGCCCAAAATCTATTAGTTTTCTACGTGCTTCCCTAATCACCCTGTGTTCGATATTTTGTACATGATCGTACTTTGCTGATTATACCTTGAGGAGCGTCTCTAGCATGGCGCAGAAAAACTATTTATTTCTCTATTTATTTGCTTATTTATCTACTCTTCCCATATAAATATCCGTTGCACAGCTGAGCAAGCCATAAATCTTAAACTAGATTGAAGGCCGGAAGGAAAACAACAGCCCAGTTGGTCTAACAACAAATCCCTACACACAATACATCTCGTTTGATCAGGTCAATTAGATATCATGATCTAGGAAAGTCCAAACACTTTACTCTGAATTAACTCGCTCCTATGTGCATTAGACCTCAAATTACTCAGCTAACACAGCTGAAGCTTTGAAAATTCATATGCAGCTACAGTGATATATTAATCCTAACATACCTTTTCTTTCGTTTATGAGTAAAACTACACCAAGAATATATAACCTCACCTGGATTAGTTTGGACAATTATGCACAATGGCTTGCGACTCGTCTGATTTTGGCTGATAGCTCCAAATGCTTTATCCACTTTCTTCCCCTACCATGTACCCGCCGCCTCCATGGTATCCTTGATCTGGATGGTAAAAAGTGAAATTGGTCAATGATCAATGGTCTATTGCGGATAAAAGTGGCCGAAGCCGGATGATCGGTTAGGATTGAGCAAAATATAGGCAAAATGGTAATAGGAAATAGTAAACAACTGCAAGTTGCGTACTTTCCGATCACGACGTTCCCGTCCGTTTTATGTACTCTCCAACCTTATCGTCTGTGGTTTCCGGACAAAAATGAAAGTGGGTTGGTTTGTTTTTGTTTTCCTGCTGTTTGTATGGGTCGTTTGGATTACGTGATATGGTGTATTGTGACCAGTGCACTGTCCACACGTGCTTTGAACACGACTAACGTTGGGGGCTGTAATAACAGCTTCTGAGAGGGTATTCCACGTGTGGAAAACACGCATCGAGAAGAAGTTTCTTAGACACTCCAACCTAGTGTACTGTTCTGCTAATTTGAGATGATCTCTCAGTTGGCTGTTGTGACTCAGCTTCAATAGGTGATGGCAGGATGATGAGTGTTGTTTAATATTTGGTAAACTATGATTAGGTCGCCACGCAAATGATGATAACGTCCACCGAAAATGCCAAGCACTGAGGCACTGTTCTGATGGCAAGTGGCGCAGCTCCTTGACATTTTTGGTCGCCCGACGTTGTGGAAGCTCCAAGGCCGTGAGATTCCGCTTTAAGCATGGGTGCCATGCTTGAAGTATATATTCAACATGAGGGCGTACATAAGAGGGAAGCATTTGGCGGAAAACAGAAGGTTCGAATCGCCCGAAACCACTCCGTAAATACCCTACGATTTCGATCCCTTTCTTCGATGCCTTTATGTATTCCTCCGAGTAACCGAGATCTTCCTGGACCAACACAGCGAGATCCTTTTCGAGAGAATAGTGTTGCAGATCCTCGTCCCCCAGGTTATACGTGTGAACCATTCGGTGTCTTAAATCAGCACTCGACATTTAGCCACATTAAAGAAAAAGCGGTTTTGAACCGACCATTCATAAATCTTGTCAAGGTCGATTTGAAGCTGGATACAGTCTTCTGGAGCTCTGATCACTCGCCATACTTTGATGTCATCGGCGTAGAGTAGAGTTTGACGCAATTTGACTCACTAGATCGCTTATGAAGACCAAGAATAGACAGCCCCAATACTGAACCCTGCGGCACTCCGCATTTGACATGAGTTAGGTCTGACATGGATTCACGTACTCCCACCTTCAGACGCCTGTGTGAGAGAAAATTGCAGATCCACCCGAGGAGATGGTCCCCAATGCCACATCCATGAAGTTTGGCGAGAAGGATACGATTTTCCAACCGGTCGAATGACTTAGAGAAATCAACGTAAGCCACATGAACTCTTGCACCAGCATCCATCGTTTCGGTCCAGTTGTCTCGTGATAACAATAGATTGGTTGTGCACGACGGATTCTGGCGGAAGCCGTGTTGCTACTGAGCAATGTAACCAAAGCCGTCCAGATAAGACATAAGTGCGTCGACAATGATGGCCTCCATAACTTTTGAAGGAACTGACAGTAGACTCACTGGTCGAGAATTAACTGGGTCGGAACAACTACCCCCTTTGTAAATGGCAGTTATTATTCTGTGTTTCCACGTTGCAGGAACGTGCTGCTATTCAAAGCAGTGCTAGAACAGCCACACCAAAGATTCAGCCAAAATAGTGGCCGCCACAGCAAGTGTCTTTGGGAGGATATCATCAGTTCTGGACAGAGAGCACGCGAATGGATAGCAGCTTCTCATCACGATGTCGGCCGTGAAATTTATATGAGTCCTGGTATGGGCAGCATAGATCCCAAAGAATCAGGAGACCACCGGATGAAACGAAAGCTTGGTGCATATTATTGCTGCAGAACATCTGAGTTCTGATAGGAAACGACAGTGAAAAACCTAGGCAATGGTCCCACACGTACCTACTGGTTGGCGGCATCCGGTTTCGGATTTGCCTGTCACTGTGGCCAGCCACAGGACGCCTGCGCCTACAGAGTGACCATGAGTGGCTTGCACTGTACCACCCACAGCTCCATCCACACACCCCATATCCAGTGTAAACCCGAAGGAATAAGACCGGGAGGCATACGGATCGGAGCCACGTTTCATCAACGGAGCCGGCCCACACTCCTTCACAGACAAACACAAGCACGCTGTAGTTGGGAATCAATCGCACACAAGGCGGTGGTTGGACCGTAGTCCGCTCCACACTGGGTGCATGGAACCACTCTGCGAGCCTAACACGGCCACGAATACCGTACACCCCGTCCCTTCCAGCAATGCCCAACTGTCTCCTAGAGCCAATGTGGACGAGGTAGTGGGTAATAGACAGGTAGGCACCTTGTCAACATGCATATCAAGCGCAGCCACACCGTGTATATCAAACAACAGCCAACCAATTGAGAGAAAGAAAACCAAGAAAATAAATCGTGTAATGCATAAGGAAACGGTGACATAAATCTTACATTAATGAGCATATGAAATAAGTTGTCTATAGACGAATGCGAGGTAAGTTCACGAGGTCAGGAGGTTTATTTTATGGAAATGCTACAAATGCGAAAATGTTATCGAAATAACTACAAGTGGCTTAAGCGACGTGTGCAAGTGTATAGAAGAGGGTATAGTGGGCATTTGTGTGGAAAAGAAATGCATCAGGACAAAATGGAAAGCCCACCACCTGAAATAAAGAGACTTAGCACGCATGCACGCTGTTAGTAAATCAAATGCAGTGTACCTACAAACGGTGCGCCGGTTCTGCCTACGTTCTCTGCAGGACCCGTTGTCGCTTCTGTAGTGGTCCCGAGTGGCCTCGCTCATGACTCACTAGGCCTGCCTGATTCAGATACTCGCGACCGCATTTGCTACAGCACCACGCGCTCGAAGTCGATGGAATACAACCCATCGGTGATTGCCGCTTCCGCAGTTGCCGCTTCTTCTCTGTATGTATGAGGTCTTTCTCCCGCACTTCGGCAACTACCTTCGTGATTAGATCGCGCCATGCACCACGATCAACCGCCTTCGATTCCCATGACCTGCAATCAAGATTAGAACGTGAGAGGCTCACTTTGATCATGTCCTGGCAACGTAACTTTGGTTTCCCCACATGCCGCTTCCCAATACTCAGCTGACCGTATAAGAGTTGTTTCGGTATCCACGTTGAATCCATACGCCAAACATGACCGAGCCACCTCAGGTGTCTCAGCAAAAGTATGCAGTCCACTGCATACATCCCACTTCGGCGCAACACTTCTGTGTCAGCAACTCTGTCGCCCCAACTGCTGCGCAAAATTCGTCGCAGACATTGCTGATGGAACCGCTCGAGATATCGCACATCCCGACGGTACATAGTCCACGTTTCACTGCCTTATTAAAGAACGGACAGCACCATGGATTTGTACACCATCTGCTTCGTGCCAACGCTAAGCTGATGGTTGTTCCACACTCGGTACTCAAGATTCCCGAATGCCGCCGCTGCCTTCGACACGCGGATACGAGGCTCACTGTGTACCTGCTGATCAGTCGATATCACACCCCCAAAGTAGCAGAAGCGGGAGGTGGTCTCCAATACTTCAGCATCAATACTGATTCGCGGCAATATTGAAGATTGCACCTCCGGTGAAGGCTGAAAGAGACAGAGAGTTTTGTTTGTGTTGATGGTGAGCCCGAATTTGGCCGCTGTCGAAGCCAGAGCACTAGTCATATGCTGCAACTCATCCGCGCTGTGTGAAAACAACGCACATTCGTCAGCAAACAGCAACATACGGATAGTTATCTCACAGACTAGAGTTCTCGCGTCGAAACGACGGATGTTCAGCAACCCACCATCAATACGGCGCTCCACACGAACACCGTAAGCACAAGCCGCATCAAAAGCACAAGACATCATTGCATGAGGATAGTCATTAAACAGGGCAGGAGCTAAGACACATCCTTGCTTCACACCAGAGACAACAGCAAAGTCATCCGGGGTCTCTCCACTCAGCTTCATCCTCGCTCGCATACCACTATGCAGACATTCAATTCAACTTGCATACTTACGCTGGCAACCAAACTTACCCAAAACCAGCCACAATGCCTTGCGGTTCACCTTATAGAATGCCTTGGTGAAATCAACCAAAAGCGAGTACAATGGCTGGTGTTGTTCTCTGCACTTCTCCTGCAACTGACGAGCCGCAAACACCATATCTATAGTGCTGCGACTAGAGCGGAATTCACACTGCTCTTCCTCCACGTTTGGCTCCACAACTTGAATGACGAGGCGGTTGAGCAGGATTTGGGCAATCCCCTTGCCCACACAACTCAGCAAGTTGATGCCACGATAATTTGTTCAACACTGCTTGCTCCCTCTGCCCTTGTACAGTGGTAGCACAAGGGCATCCTTCAGCTCAGGAGGCACCTCCTCCTCAATCCATACGCGTCGCACCAAGTGGTGCAGCGCAGTCAACAACGCGGGTCAGCCGTGTTTCAATACTTCAGGTGGGATCCCGTCGGTTCCGGCATATTTGCCGTTTCGCAGCTGAGCAAGTGCCCTCTGCGTCTCATCCAGTGTCGGCGTGTCAGCCAGACTCGCCTTCACATCGTGCTGCTTCAGGCCGTTCAATTTAGGCCAGTCGATCTCTGAACGGTTTTTCAAGAGACATTCAAAGTGTTTCCGCCAGACCTGCATTATGTCTGCAGTCTGTGTGCGGGTAGTGCCTGAACTACCATCGATCAGCGTCCTCAGCGGCTCCAATCTCGGTCCATACACCGTCTTCAAGGTGGCAATGAATTCCTTGTGTTGGCGGTGTTCGGGTTATCATTCCATCTGCTTCGCCTTCTCCGTCCACCACGCAATTTTAATGCGACGGAGCTCTCGGGTCAGTCGCCGTCGAATTTTGCGAAACTAACTCTTCTTCCCCAAGTCACTGGGGTCTGCCACATGTGCAGCAAATGCTGCATTCTTCTCCGACACCAATGCGCCGATCGTCGCACTGTTGTCATCAAACCAATCAGGCCGCTTACAGTTTGCGCACCCGATGGTCTCCTCGGCAGCAGCTGTCACCTCCTCGTGGATGTGGTGCCACAGGTCGCCCACTGTGGCTATGCAGTCGACATCACACTGTCGTGCAGGCATCGCCTTCTCCAGCTCAGTAGGTTTCGCCCCAGTACCGAGGGAGAGAATGTTAAGTTTACGCCGATTCACGGCGGGAGTGCAATACATAGATTTACGAAAATATATGTACAATTTGGTCCGCACCAATTTGTGATCAGTGCCACACTCAGCTCCACGCAGTACACGTGTCATGCGTACTTCACGCATATCAAGCTGGCGCACGATGACGTAGTCGAGCAGGTGAGCGTGACCACTCCGTGTGTGAGGCCAAGTTGTTATATCACTCGCACTCAGTGCAAACCGAGTGTTCGTGATCGTCAGGCCGTGAGTGGCACAAAGTGAGAGCAGCTTGTCACCATTCGCATTCGCTGAACCAATGCTATGCAGACCAATAACATCTGTCCACACCGATGCATCACGCCCAACGCGCGCGTTGAAATCACCCAACAGAAATAGTCTGTCGCTCCTCGGCACAGACCGTAGCACGGAGGATAGCTGAGTGTAGAAATGATCACGCGTGTCATCAGGATAACACATGGTCGGACCGTACGTGCTTATAAAAGTAGCAAACTTACCTCTTCCGAGTCGTAGGCGAACAGTCATCAGTCGCGCGATGATGCCCGTTGGTTCACCCACCAGCTGGCCATGGAAGCGATCGGATATTGCAACTCCGACCCCATGATCACGTGGTGCTGAGGCTGCGTTGCTCACCCAGTAGAATGTGCAGCCAGCACCTGCTTCATGCAACTTACCTTGCTCAGCGAGCCAGCACCCGATGCTAGGCGCTTTGCGTGCAGACCTAAGATTGCATTGGTGGGCAATCGCGTGCGAGATGATCGTTGTGCTTCAGAGGTTTGCTTGAGGGACTCCACCCGGAGCCTTTGGCTCCATAGCCTGACGCATAAGGCAGTGGGTGGTTTGGAGGTTTACTTGAGGGACTCCGCCTGGAGCATTTGGCTCAATAGCCTGACCCACAAGGCAGTAGGTAGCAGATCCAGCTCGGGAATGTGATTGCAGAGACAGATTGGGATCTGCTTGACGGCCGTCACAAGCAGCTTTGGAGGTACTGGAACGATTTATATATATTTTGCGACCGTAGTAGGACACACCTGCGACCACGGCCAGACGCAGGTGGGTTTCGGCGGGTTTGCACCAATTTGACCAGGGGCTGCCTGGCTTGAGGCGGGCAGTAGCAAACCATTGAACACCCGGAGGTGCCCTCCCACCGTCAGAGAAAATGCTTGGCGCTTGTGCTCTACGCCAATCGAACTGTGCGCTTATAACCCGTAGACCTGTTGTCTCCCATGGCTAGGTTTTACGGGAAGAGGGCCGTCGACCACTTCCTAACCTCCGTAGAGGATGAACTAGGATACTGGCAGGGCGCCCACTCCTGACAGCAGAACGACTCGGGTCCTCAGCCAAAGCCTTCGATTAAATGAACACCCGAAAGGCGGCGGGTCTAGCACATGGTCAGTTCACTGACTCATGCGTATTGGTGTCCTGGATCTTAAAAGGGAGAAGGGCGAGAACCAACTCACACCCGGCGGTCGCCACGAGGAGGAGCCCAGGACATGGGCCAATGGCACAGCAGTAGCAGCAGTGGGTAGACCATCTGTCAGGATCTAGCCACCACCAGCCTCAGCGCACCATAGGCTCTCCAGCCTACTACATCCTTACATAACCCCCAACCGCTGAAAACCCTGCACGCGTGAGCGTGTTGCGCACATGTAAATATGATCCGTTTCTTTATCGGAAAGATTTCGCTGTCGCAAGAGAAATATACACTATTATTATTATTATTAAGGTTATTATTATTATTATTACCGCTATCATCTGGTAGTAGTCTCCCACGAAGACGCGTAGCGGTATTCCCAGTCTTGGTAAGCTGACATTGAATGAACTGTAATGAATGAACTGTAAGCTACCGATACACTTAAACAACAGGTTCATTTAATTCGTGTAAGTTAACAACTAATCGGTTCACCTTTTGTCATTGGTTCTGGGAGTATTTGACTAGTCAGGATTTGTGCATCCGGTAAATAATGTACTTTAGCTAGCATAGAAGTCACTTGCCATAATTGAGTTTCAAATTCATGCAAATGAGAAAAACAAGCTTGAAGCTTTAGAAAAGGCTATTCCATCAAGTGGAGAGAACCATGTTTTTCACTATAAGTAAGAACTGAGGTAACACACTGCAGTTTGCGACAGTCTTCCAGTTAAGCAAGTTGCTAGCTTATTTGACATTCAAATTTCGTCTGTGCTCTTCGTTTGCAGCAATTACCTGATCAACGGTTCTGTCGACGATTCGTTGTCAAATTAGTCAACGTGCTTCTGTAAGTTTGTTTTCTCTTGCCATCACCTGGCAACAAACATATGAAGCAGTACAGTTGCATCACTGCTAAGCTTATCATTTGTACCAGGTGAATTGTATGATTTTTGCCTTATGGTCTGCGTGAGCTGCGATGCAATGGTGCTTGGTGCTTTGGTTATTTGTTTTATTAGCTCACAAACAAGTGACACAAAATATATGTACGGCGATTGATGGTTTTACTTTCACCTACAGAAACGCCGAATTTTGAGCTCACTACAATTTATTGACTCGCTGTAATGTCTCGTGATTACCCAAGCAATTGGGGATAGTGTAGCACTTTACCTGTGAGCACATTCCCCTCTGTGCAACATACAATGACCACCTGACTGAAACTCACAAGCACCTTAATACTTGGTCTTGATTGGTCCGAATGAAATGGCACATATTGGGAATTGTCGACTGTCCGCCAAACATCGAACAGATCGAAGGCGGTATGGAGGTGAGTTCATATTTCGTGGTGGGTGGTTATATATCTCCAACTATGAATGGGTGGGAAACACGAAGTAGTCTTTAATGTTCCTAACCCACCCAAATAATGCAATTTGACCATACTGCTGCGGAACGAGCGAAGAAGCTGTACGAGCTATGTGATATAGCTAATCGTGGATACGTCACTAGGAGTGATCTAAGCAGACTTAAGGAGTATTTAGAATGCGATGATGAGCTTCTGGATACAATATTCTCCAGCATGGATGTGGCGGGCGCAGGATTTGTTCCGGTAGACTCATTCGTCAGCAAAATCGGTGAGTTTTGCAGAATGCCCATGTTGCCACTAAAAAGTACATTACTGACCACTAAATCAGCATAACACTAGTAGCAAATAAGTAAATGAATTGTTTATTATCAACAGTGCAAAGCACACCTTCATAGGCATGAGATTGGTAATACCAGCACGAAAAATCTGTAATTGTATAAGGGTTACAAGCTAACCAGTTGCCAACTGGCTTTATGTGCATATGTAGGCACGTGTGTATGTAGCCATGTCGAACGTACCTGTTGATGCAACGCTGCATTGAGTCACCAGTGCAAGAAGGGATCACTGGAGCTCTTCAAAATTAAAGACTGATGTCTGTGTAGAGGGTGGGTGCATCTTGATGGGCAAGAGGTAGTGATTTCATTTAGTGGCTAGTCACATCCGCCACGTCAAAGTATTGTGATACGGATATATGTGACTTTTTTCGGGGGGAGGGGGCAAACGCTTGCTAGATGGAAACCCACCACGTCTCTAAAACATGCCGCTGAAGCATTCACTGGAAGGACACTGACCCGGACCACCCAGCTGGTACCACGGGGAGGTTATTCTGCGAGCCAGCCTGAACACTAAGAAAAACGCTGTTTGTGCTTCCGTTTACATTTTTTGTTCATCTGCTACAAACTTTCTGACGGCCTATCAGGCCCAAACAAATTATGCTTTGATTCCTCTATTTTCTGGTGCCTGTTGTACCAATACATATCCAGCACATAACCGCACAATTTTAGCTTACCTAGTCGCACGACATTTACAATTCGCCCTCATGGCCATCAAATTCCGTGTCAACTTTAGCCTATTGCATGCAATCTTGCATTTAACACTCGGTCTCACAGCATTCAAAGCCACACGCCGATTTAGATTTGGATTCAATCGTTTTCTTCCACATGAAATTAGTATCAGTTCCGAACAAGATCCCATAATCTACAGCTTCTGATTTTGTGAACTGTACATACGTGTAGATACACAAAGGTATAAGTATTTACGTTTAGCAAGTGGAGCAGAAGCTCAAGATGCGATGGTTGACATTCATAGTGGCCCCAGTGACTCAAAATGCAACAGCGCCCAGTGGAATCCAAGGAATCCAAATCTGTAGGTGTTTTTAGGCAGCACATAGGAGTTGTACTTATGTACGCCGTTAATGGTGATCGAACCACGATTGGCTCCTTATCGTCTACATTTCAGTTAAGTTCATCAGTTAATTTCCCTATTACGGTTTATTTACTTTGCACTACGCACGTTGCCAGGCTAATGATCACTATAACAATACCGAAGAAAGTGAGACAGAGCGCAAACAAAAACGTGAATGTGTTTGGAAAAGGTGCGTAGGATATATCAGGGTGGAAAATTGACAGCTTGACGCAAGGTACCAAATGCAGGGGCGCAACTGACTGTACGACAGTAGCTGGTCTGCCAGGGTGTCCAACTACGGATGTAGCTCATTTCTGGGTCCTCATCTATGGCGATACTTCGAGTCCGCATGATCAAATCTGTAAGTAAATTGCTTCATACCCTTAAACCACGTCTTCGACAGGCCACCTTGCGTTTTAGCCCAGCTGGATGCTGGACAGAATAGATGTCGACTGAGGAATGCTGTCAACTGTCATAAGGAGGGTTTTAGATGCCCAACGTTAGTGGCTCAAGTTTAGGGGACACCCAGTAGATACCATGGGTATTCGTTCCTAAGAAACAACAGATGGCCTACAGTATTGCACACCCGATGCTTTTACCAAATGTGAGGATTATTTCTCAACCATCGGTTAACAAAAGCGACCGATCAATCTGCAAACATAACAGCGCCTTCAATGGGGAGTGCTCAAGTTTCAAATCCATATGGCAACACCGGCATTATCAAAACGCTGCATGTATGGCCCACGAGTGACATGATTTACTACCGTCTCCACAGATAATTCAGACTTTAGAAAGCCGCATAATAGGTTAACATTAAAGTAGCTTACATAGTGATGTGCCCATCAGAGCTGACACAGCTAACAAGAACAGTAACCCGTGCAAGCAGTTCCAGTGGTAGTGCAATGCAGCCACAAGCTGCGCATGGCGGCACATTACTGCAGACTTAGCTCAGAATTTGAGTGCACATTCCGACTTACAGGGTAAAATTGTTTAATAAGAGTAGAAAGACAAAGCTTAACAGGTCCCGTAGGATGGCTAGAATGGATTTTTCAAAATATAACGAGATGCCATCAAAATTAGGTTCACACCACTGGTTGGCGGCATTCGGTTCCGGATTTACCTACCATTGAGGCCTCTTAGGACAGCCACAGAATGCCTGCGCTTACAGAAGGACCATGGGTGGCTTGCGCTGCACCACTCACAGCACCATCCACGCACATCATGTTCAGTGTAAACCAGAAGGAATAAGACCGAGAGACATGTGGATGGGAGACAAGTTTCTTCAACGGGTCTGGCCCACATTCCTTCAGCAAGCAAAGCAGTAGCGTTCATGCCTAATTGGGAAGTCCCGCTTACCAGAGGAACCCAAGGCGGTAGTCGGACCGTATGCCGTTCCACACTGAATGCGTGAAGCCACTCTTTGAGCCAAACACGGCCACAAGGACCGTGCACCCCGTCTCCTCTAGCAACGACCAACTGTCTCCTGGAGCCAGGATAGGGGAGGTAGTGGTTAATAGACGCGCAGGCACATAGTCAACATGCACATCAAGCGCGGCCGCACTGGGGCGATCAGTCAACAGCCAACACCTAAAATGCAAGAATCTCAACACGCAGGCAAACACACAAAACAACCGCAACCACGATACGGCACACGTTCCACATCAACCATCTTATTGACTTGCGTTAGAAAACTGCGTTGGGAGCAGCGATCTTACTAAGCGCAGCGCTGATGATGACTGCACATTTAGCATACTCATCTTACTTTAGATTTTGGCCCAACATGGCGACGCTGGTGGCTTACTAATTCAGCTTCGCTCAGGCATTTGCGACCGCATGTGCTACAGCACAATACATTCGACGTTGAGGTGCTATCCACCATCGACACCTGTCGCTTTCTCAATCGGTTTCTATTCCGCATGCAGTAGTGATTTGCACCAAGGCTACCGCTCTCTTGATACGTTTTCGCCATCGGCGCCGAACCACTGCCATCGACTCCCAAGACCTAAAATCAGCCTTATTTTATGATAAAATCACTTTCATCGAATCGAAGGCGCCTCAGCAAAAGGATGCAGTCCACCGTATACATGCCACTGCGTCGGAGCACTTCTGTGTCTGCAACTGGGTCATTCCAGCCAACGCGCATAATACGACGCAGATAATGCTGATGGAAGCACTCCAGATAACGGACATTCTTCAGATACGGCGTCCAGGTTTCGCTGTCATATAGAAGCCCGAACTTGTATAACAACAGCTTTGCCCCGACAGTGAGATGGTGGTTGTTCCACACACGGCATTCCAACTTGCCAATTGTAGCAGCCGCCTTTGATACGCAGCTGCACAGCTCGCTCGTCATTTGCAGGCCGGTTGTTATCACACTTCCAAGGTAGCCAAATTTTGTAGTGGTCCCCAACACTTCGTAGGTAACCTGGATTTGAGGCAGGCCGACGATTGCCATTCCAGGAGAAGGGTAGATAAGGTAAGCAATCTTGCTTGTATTGATAGTGAACCCAAATTTGGCCGCTGACGAAGCGAGAGTCGAAGTCATGTGTTGCAACTTATCCGCGCTATGCTCAGTCGTCAGCAAACGGCAACATAGGAAAAGTTGCCTCACACACGGGTTGTGGCCCCGAACCGGCGGAGGTTCAGCACTCCACCATCAATACGGTGTTCCACACGGACACCGTAATCATTAGCAGTATCAAAAGTACACTACAACCTTGCATGACGGTAGATCTTAAACAAAGCAGAAGCTAAGGCACAGCGTTGATTTACAGCAGCGACAATCGTGGTCATCCGAGGTTTGTCCATACAGCTGTACCCTTGCCCGCATACCATAGCGCAGACATTCCATCAAACTTACAAACTTACAGACAACCAAACTTAGTCAACACCAGGCACAGTGCCTCGTGGTTCATTGTAGTAAACGCCTTGGTGTAATCAACATACAGCAAGTATAAGTAGCTGACAAACCGCCAACGCCATATCTATAGTGCTTCGGCTGAACGAAATGCGCATTGCTCTTCTGCGAGGTTCGGTCCAACGGCCTGACTGACGAAGTGGTTGAGCATGATTCGGGCAACTACCTTGCTCACACAACTCCGCAAGTTAATGCCACGATAATTCGTAGAAAATTGTTTGCTCCCTTTGCCCTTATACTTTGGTAGCACAAGAGCACCCTTCAGCTCGGGAGGCATCTCTTTTTAAAGCCACACGCGTTGCACCAAGCGGTGCGGCTTATACACCAACGCGGATCCATCGTGTTTCAATACTTCCAGCGGGATCCCGCCGGCACCGGCACACATGACATTCCGCAGCTGAGCAAGTGCACTCTGCGTCTCATCCAGTGTCGGTGCGTCTGCATGACACGTCTTCACCACTTGTTGTTGCGACCCGTTCACCACAGTCCAGTCAATCAGTGAACGGTTGTTCAAGAAAAAAGCAAGTGTTTTCGCCAGACCTGCAATATGTCGGCAGTCTGTGTGCAGGCAGCGCCTTAATTATCCTTAGGCAGCGTCCTCAGCGGCTCCAATCGTGGTCCACGCACCGCCTTCAAAGAGTCAAAGAATTCCTTGTGTTGGCGTCGTTCGGCGTAGCATTCCATCTGCTTAGCCTTCTCCGCCCATCATGCATTTTTAATGCGACGGAGCTCTAGAGTCACTCGCTATCGTATTCTACGAAACTGACCAAGTCACTGAGGTCTGCCACTTGTGCAGCAAATACTGCATCATTTTCAGACGTAATGCGCCAGTCGTCACATTGTTCGCATCAAATCAATCGGATCGCTTACAGTTTGAGCGCCTGATGGTCTCCTCGGCAGCGGCTGTCACCTTACTGAACTCACCTAACTACACACACTAAAAACTG